TTGTGGATAGGGTTTAATGGGAAGATATAACAATCATGTTATAAATCAGAGATCTCTCAACTTCGCCGGGGGTAGATTCTTCGGCTTCCCAAATCAAAAGTCGTGGTCACCCTGGATTCCGTGTTTGGAGTACGTACATATATCATTACGCTTCATTGGTTTGCGGCGGCCGCATATGAATGGGCTTGATTGTAACCCATGCCCATCAGATGAGGGAATCTCAACTCGATTTCGTTTTCCTTAATAGTTTGAAAAGAGGGGGTTCTCCTCCATCATGCCGGCGCATTGATACTGACAAGTAAGTCAGGAGGTAAACCGTCCTCTGCCTATAACGTTATTCGCCGGAATAGAGTCCAATGAAAACCTGATTTCCCACAGGAGGATCGAACGTATGCTTGATCCCCAACACAAAGTCCACAACCCGAAATCGTCGCACGAAAAACAATGCGAAACCTGCTAGTTACTGTTGAATTCGGTCCGTCCTTCCCACAGAGCTGTGCCGCAAGAAGGGGTGGCAAGACGTTCGTTGACATTGCATCCCAGATCCGTGCCAACGTCCCAAGTCCAGATTCGGCCTATTGTTGTTCCGTAGCTTGGTGTGTCAGTTAAATATCCTAACCGCTTGTGCCAGGACTGGCCTTTCGTTGTTGTTTTGGGGAAATGCTGGAGGGTGAATATTAGAACCCGTTCAGGCTTTGAAGATGATGCAATTTCAGAATGCGTGAGTTGGATTGTTTTGGGAGAGAGAAGCTGAGTAGGTGGGGAAAAAAAGAAAAAAAAAAAATAACCCAGCCCATTCAGTTCTCCTGCAACTCGTCTAGAGTCCTTTTCCATCTTTCATCCTCTACGACAACGAAGACAGATATTTTGGAACGGGGATCGACAAAAGCTTCCAGCTTAGTTGAAGTTCTACTACGAATTTTAGCAAATTTTTCAACTAACTAGCTAGCTAACTAACGGGTTACTGCGTAGCGAGTTATCGCATTGCTTGGAAGCCTTCGAGGGTTCAGAAGGGGTCCAATGACGCTCTGCCACCAAATTATCAGACAGCGACCTTGCTGGTTCGCAAATCAGAATAATACCAGAGAATGCATATTGGGCACCGTTCGTGCCCGATCGACTCTTAGTCGCGGAAAGCCAATTATTATCATCGTCTCGCTCCGTCGAGCCGCCTCACTTTTCCATTGACGACAGCTTCGGAGAGTCTTTCTGACGCCTGTGGCTGTTCTTGCGCAGATAACTCAGAGTTTCATAACAACTCTGTCGAGTTCTAAACTCTTCAATCCACGATGAAGAGGGGAAGTTGACATTCTACATGTGGGAGGTGTGTTCCCAGTCTTTGTGCTCGAAACACGCGACATTCAAACCATGCTTCGTCGACCATTCGTTGTTCAGGATTCAGCGATGTCCAGACCCATATTGCCGCGTCCCAAGTTGTTCAAATACTTCACGTTGATTTTTAGCTTAAGCTCCCAAAGAGAGGAGGAATCACTTCTTCGCCAACCCATTTCCGTTGTGCTGAACTTCTCAAGCGGATGCAGCCATTTTATTGGCACCTCCTGCTGTCCACTACTGAATGACGTCTATTTACATTTGAACCTAGCTGTTTTTTCGAGCCAGATCACTTTTCATACCAGAACCTAATGTAATGCCTACGATATTTTTTTTTTTTTTTTTTTTTTGGCACAACTCAGTGCGAGCAAGGCTGACGACCGCTGCGGGGCTCTCAAAGTAAAATATACCACGCTCACCTCCTGGAGACTATTTGCTTTCGAGCCTCACTACCCATCAATTCAAACTGCCTGCTCAGGAAATGTAAACTGCACTCGGAGCGAATGATCTTGTTCCAACGCCAAGAGAGATCTAACGCTTTGCCTTGCCCGAGCTTAGGTTTATCCCAAACAAGGGTGATTTTGAAAGTTGCAAAATGTAAGTGCACATGAAGCTGTATTGGCATGTAACTGCATTCTCTTCTCTCTCATTTCGAGTCCCTGGGGACTAGCACGCCAGTCTCTGAGCAGCCAAGGGTGAAGAAAGTAAAGCATAAAGGTGGATCAAGTTGGGTATAAATAAGGTACCGTCCTAACCAAAACGTTGCCTTTCATTTGCTAGGTCTGCGTGTTCATTCACAATTGGCTTCTTCTTTGCTCGTCTTTCCGACTCTGGGTCAATATCTTTTAATGCCCCCATTCCGTTCCTAAGCTTGCTATATTGTAAACATAGGAACAGAAGGTAAACATTGTTCCCAGACGATGGAAACACTAACTGAGATAGACTGCTATCGGGTTCTTGGTATTACGCAATCTGCTACGGCGGTGGAGATTAAAAAAGCGTACCGGGAAAAATTGTTGACTACCCATCCGGACAAGAACCCTGGCACATCATCAGCTGAATTCTGCAAGGTGTGTTCGTGCTCCTATAGCGCAAGTTGAGAATCCTTCACTAACATAAACTCCACCTTTTTAGGTGCAAGAAGCATACGAAATCTTACAAGATGAAGGAAAGCGGGCTGCGTTTGACAAAACATATGGAGATATTCATGGGCAGAGGGACACGCACGAGCCAGGGGAGAGTCGCGGACAGAAGGAGAACAAGGAACAATGGAGTTTTCCCTACTCAACGCCAACCCCGGCTCCAGAGAAGCCTTATATGCCACGAAGGCCTTCCATGCCACGAAGAAGGCCTTCGAGACCTTACCATGTAAATGTTCCGTTCACGAACACAAGGAATCAAACTACCCAACGCAGATCACACTCACCAGACAAGCCAAGAGCACGCTCGCCAACTCCAAAAGTGCACCTCTCCTATAAACAGCACCGGTCTTCAAAGTCGGATTCGACTGCGCAGCGGCCGCATCCTTCATCGAAGCGACACACATACACCCAATCAGATCCGTCATACAATTACAAAACTATCAGACCGCGCTGGGCAGAAAGAGAAGAATATGACGACTATCATTATGATGATATTCCAGTGATTGCACCAATATGGCGCCGACCCGAAGAATCACCACGATATCGTGAAATCCACATCGACACCCTGCATAGCATGTGCAATGTGCGCTTCCCCCGAACTTCGAGCGGCAAAATATCCGTAGACCCAGGCTCAGGGCCTACGCCCGATATTTGCTTGATTTCACCAACACTCACGAGTTCAAGCGCAACCACCAGCGACTACGGATATAGCGTGACCATAATCAAACCACGCAGCCGCAACAAACCCACGTATAAAATAATCACCCCTCGCCCCAACCAAGCACGATGTTCGTCGTCGCTATCATCTTCGCAATATCATACCGTGACGATCGAGCCGTCAAAGAAGAACATGCACAATCTGCTGTACGACTACCCAGAGCGAGCGGGCCGTGCCGGTAGTTTCCGTGGAAGCTTTTATGAGGAGGATTACAGACGGACCCAAGGCATGTGCTGCTTTAATTCCAATCATTTATAAACGCTTGGGCTGTTTCCTGGGTTTATTATTCCACGGTGCTCGCATGTTCATGCAACTGGGCAACTTTGTCTTAGGATGTGGTTATAGGAGGTCTTTGTTGTGAATATTATATGTTGGTCATTGACGCGGGATAGGGGTGGGCAGGGGGCAGGGGAATCACGATTCATACAGAAACTTTACTCTTTTGGTACTTTGTCGTATGACTACATGCAGTGGATAATGTTAATGTTGGTCATTGACGTGGGATTTGTGGTGGGAATGCGGGAATACAGCAACGTTTCAGAGTGATCATGGTCGGCACAGAAAACCATAGATGTCCTGATAATGAAGAACGACAGAAATAGGCGATATCAATTGCCCTCACTTTTGTCACTCTTATGATTCTCTTTTATGTTTTGTGTTTTGTTGATTTTTTTTTATTTATTTATTTATTATTTATTTTTTTTTTTTGCTCGTTTTGCGGTATGATATACCCATGTCAAACAGGAGCTATTTACACAGCTCAGGGTGTTTTGGTTGTTAATCTCTCGCTTTATTATTACTCTCTTCTCATTTTATTATCCTTCTCACTACCTTTCTGTTCTTCTAACTCGACGCTTTTGCTTCTACTCCGTTGGTCCCGTTCTACGCACCCTCTTTTCGACAACTATTTGTCAAATACCTCCATACATTCGTTTTGGAGCCCTGTTTCTCTTCATTATTTTTCCATCCGTAGTTAGGACATTGCATTGAATTGGAGGGGTGGTGTAAAAGATTATTTCAGGGGCTTCCCTTTCGCTGGTTGGTGGATCGCATGGTTTCTCTTATTAGACATCGGCTTTGCTCCGAAGCTGACTTGTGGCTACTCTTCAACAGAATAATATCTAGACGTCAATATCTAGGTCAGTTACAAAGAAAATATAATCCTTCATGCAATCATTCTCAACCTACAAGTGCGTTAATTGTAGATGAATACCATTCAATCATATCTTTCTCATGAGTGAATATACACCGACAGCAGATATATTACACAAACGCCACAACTCCGTAGATAAACTACGGGTAGTGTGTCGGGTAATGCCAGAATATCGGAGGTATTGAACCCTCCCGCGTGAACTAAGGAATAGCCGGCCGTTAACCAAATAATAAGGGATTAAGGGACCGAACCAACCAATTTCTTGCAGGTTTCCATATTGAAAGTTGGAATGTCAAATTAAATGGACGGTAACTTAACTACTAAATCTGCCTTCGCGTACCCAGTTAGAAAAGTACTTCTGTATAGATCCTGACACTCTTTGCTCAAACAAACAAACATTAAAAAAAAAGAAAGAAAAGGGGGGGGTGGGGATCCTGTTTCTTTATTTTGTGTAGTTATTAATTACTGCTATGTCATTTATGTTGCAAAATAGTTTCTTCATCTCTCTTGGATGAATGGAGGTCCCTTTTGAGTCGCTGGTACGAACCAGTCGGGATCAATGGTTCATGATGCTTGCATTGACCATACCTCGTTGTTAACGGCAGCCATCGTCAACTTCTAGATTTCCGCAGACAACCTAGGAACCTAATATGCAATGTCAGACGGGAGACCCTCGGGAGCGAAGTGGCCGCCAGCGGCTAGGCAGCTTGCTTCCAAAGGGATTGTGTTTGTGACTGGTGGTTTGGACGGTTGGGATTTAACTACCTCTGCGACCAAGGATACGCCTATTTATGCATGCAGCATTAGGTACGTGTGATTACTTGAAACAATTATATAGTGTTGTAAACAATGAGGAGGCACTTCTGTGAGTGTGAAAAATGCTAAGGTGGGGATGATATTATTTTAGCCACTCTATTGTGGTACGGTAACCTGGTGTTTATGTAACTGACTATACAGGTTGAACTGGGCAGCGTATGGAACAACTCAGGTCCATTGCAAACAGCAAGAATATACAAGCGTTCCATATGCAAGGTGACGTATGTAAGAACCACATGAGCAGGCGTTGCATGCATCCATCGCGTAGCCCTTTTGTTAGCTGTTATGTCATGGATGTTATGTTATGCATAAGAGTATATATATGTAACTACAGGATCTGTTTGCTTGTTAAAACTTCAGCCCTAGGACGTTGAAGCACAACCGGAAGCCAAGAGGGACGGCAGGGCGGATACGCCACCCGTTAACATTTCATAGCAGAGAATAAATTCTTAGAGGACCGTTATCAACCTTGTTGCATTGTGGGACTCTAAGCAAGCTAGCCACAACTAATAAATATATATATGTGCACGTGACCTCGGGTAGCCGGGGAATCCTCCAACACCCCCCCATGCCACAGTGAGCCTGAGCTCTGCCACCTATCCCCTACTGAATGCCCTCAAATCCGCAATAAAAATTAAATACAGGAATCAGATGCTATTTCCCTATTAGGAAAAGCTCTATTATGTCTCTGTACTGTAACTTTGCAAAGAAAGTACACAATTATTCCCCTAATCTGTATTCTCATTACACCTCCTTAGGGGCTGCAAAACAGTGTAAAAATCAATCATCCTCATCAATGAGGCCAGACCTCTGTCAATCCTATTTTCTCCACAAATTCATTGTAAGCCGGCTTTGGTAGAGGCTTTGTAAATCCATCTGTTTTATTCACTGTAGAACCTACATGTGAAAGCTCCACCTCTCCTTTCTCAACTAAGTCGCGAAGTATACGGTAATTGTCACAGCTTCAGCTAGGCGCAGGTGAACTGGTGTTCAATTGCCAACTAGGTAAGCTATCTGAGTGAATACTAAGATGATTTCTAAAAGATGAATTCAGAGAAGGCTCTGTTTATATAGCCCTTTTTCTCTAGCACTGTTGCCAGGTGATTGCCACATTTATGTGTTATTCATACATGAGGTGATTGTGGGGTTGTTTGCCATTGCCTAGGCAATTGTTGTTTACCAATCACCTTGGCCTGTATGATGACCAATCACCTCAGCCTGTATGATGACTGATCACCTCAGCCTGTGGCGATTATGCTGTTGAGAAGGTTGAATGTAAGCCTGTTCTACACCATCACATTATCCCCCCTTGAAGTCTAGACATGCTCTCATGTCAGTAGGTTATCATTCACTTCATCTGCTAGGTAGTCATTCTTTTCTCAAGTCTCCAGTTATTTACTTAATTTCAGAGGCTCTGCTTTCATTGAATTTGCAGTGTGAAATTATTGAATGAAATATGATAATTTCTTTAGATTTTATGCTAAATACCATGTTAAATTTTCATCAAATTCTAGTCATTTTATCTGATATTGAACCTTTTCATGAGAGATACAGCTTGCTAAAATATTCTCAACTTCTCACTCATTTTCTTCTTATATTTTAATTGATTTTAATGTCTTATTTAACTGTTCTGATATAGAGTTATTCATAGTTTTTTATAATTTAGCAGAAGAGAATATTAAGTGAATTTTCATACTGTTTGATAGTCTTAGTCTGTAGCTGTTGTCTACTCTCTCAATGATCTCAAAGAAGTCTTCATTTTGCTCTGTAAGCTTTCTGCTAAGATGTTGAATTCTATAGTTCTTTAGTAACAAGAAGATCTTATGTTCTATCTCAAAGTTTGACTTATGACAGTGCTTGTTGATCTGTAATTTTATGATTTCTTGTGTCTTTTTCATATTATTTACTGCTAGCTTTCAGATTTCCTTCATTTGAATGATATGCTACCTGACATCTTTTCATTTAAAATTCTCTTCTCTAGATAGTATCTTAGGCAGTGACTTTTAATTAAAGAACATTTGAGATTCATATTCATAAGCTGTTAGAAAGAGTGTCATTTCAGTTGATTTATTTATCAGAGCTTCAGTTACATGATTTATTATTGATAGTTACTTATCTCAGTTGTTTTGATAATAATTTACATATGAACAAAGCTTGATTGTCAGATATTGATTTACAATCTCAGTCTAACAACTAGATAAGCTATCTGAGTGAATACTAAGATAATTTCTAAAAGATGAATTCAGAGAAGACTCTGTTTATATAGCCCTTTTTTTTAGTACTATTGTCAGATGATTGCTATATTTATATGTTATTTATACACAGGATGATTATGAGATTGTTTATCATTATCTAGGTAATTGTTGTTTACTGATCATCTTAACCTATATGATGACTAATTATCTCAACTTGTGATGATTATGCTGTTAAGAAGGTTAAATGTAAGTTTATTCTATATCATCACAAAAATGATGAGAAAAGATATTGAATTGTCAAAGGAATTAAATATTATTGACTTTATAAATGACTAGTATTACTGTCTGCTAAGACAACTAGTAAAAGATAAATGAGAGATTTTGAAAATATTGATTAAAAATAATTTAAAAAATATTATTGATTCAGTCTATCTGCTTAATGAGATAAAACTAATCAAAGATAATGAATTTGAAATATTTGCTAGTGACACTAATCCTGTATTAAACATGTTTATAAATTATTTAAATAGTCTAACAGAGGTAAAGAAAAGTTCAGATTGAAACCACTGACTTAAAATAATAAGAAAAGAAGTTAAAATATTCAAGAATAAAAAAATTTATATTATTATTGAGAAGATGTTTAAGATAAATATCTTGACAGACAAATAAGTATTTAATTATAAGTTGAATAATAGAGATAAAATAATTTATTTCAGAGTCTACTAGATAATTATAGAGTTTTTGTAGTAGCAGGATATCCACTACTATAAATCTTATACTGCAGTTATTTCAAAACTTATAAGCTGCTTTTTATTCATTTTATCAACTACTAAAGGTTAAAAATTAAAGTTGATTAACTATATATCAGTATTTTTGAATGATATACTACTACAGAATGAAATAGTCTATATATAGTTACTTATAAGCATTAAACATAGAAGTGGAGGACTAGTTGATCTTCTTAGACAGAGTTTATATAGCATAAAGCAAGCTGCAAGGATCTGGTATTTCATAGTGACAGAGTATCTCATATTACTGAAGTTTAGAATTTCAAAATATAATAGAGATTTCTATTTCATTCTATCTACGAGATTTATCTAACACTACATATTGATAATTACAGAATCATAAGCTATAAATAAATAGACTTAAACTAAATATTAAGTAAAATATAAAAGAAATTTGAGATAAAAGATGTTGAGAAAGATAAGCTATATCTTGAGATGAAGGTTAAATACAGATTAAATGAAAATTTGACAGTCTCACAGATTTACTATATTAAAAAAATTCTTAAAGATTTTGATATAAATAAGGTTAACTCTGCTTATATACCTATGATAGTTGACATACAATTTGAATTTACCTTTGAGAAGATTATTGAATTGAAAGATGAGTTTACAACTACAAAATATCATCAAAAGCTTAGATTACTTCAATATATTATATCAAACACAAGGCTAAATTTAGCATTTACTGTGAATTATTTATTAAAGTTTAACTTATATTTAAAAAAGAACTACTGAACAGCTTTGAAGCACATCTTTCATAATGTAAAAAAAATAAAAGCTCTAGAAATAGTTTATAAATATGAGAAAAATAATAAAAATCTATAATCAGTTGCTTATTATAATTTAGATTGAGCAGGTATAAACTTTTAATATAAATTAACATCTGGCTATATCATCATGATTAATGAATTCTTAATTTTATAGCACTCACAATATCAAACATCAACTGCAAAATCAACAACAAAAGCAGAATATATCACTACTAGTGAAGTTGTATGTGAGTTTATTTGATTGAATAATATGCTGTAAGATGCAAGTCTGATGAAAGAGAAGTCAAAGATCTACATAACATTGCAGATAAATAATAAAAGTATCATTAATCTGACAAAGAGAGAGTCCTTGATAAAGAGATTTTATTATCTAAAGATTCATTACTGTGATAGTATAGAACAGGCTTATATTCAACTTTCTTAACAGCGTAATTGCCACAGGCCAAGGTGATCAATCATCATACAGGCTGAGGTGATTAATCATCATATAGGTCAAAGTGATCAATAAACAATAATTGCTTAGATAATAGCAAACAATCTCATAATCACCCTGTGTATAAATAATATATAAATGTGGCAATTATCTAATAATAATATTAGAGAAAAAGGACTATATAAACAGAGCTTTTTCTGAACTCATCTTTTAGAAATTATCTTAGTATTCACTCAGATAGCTTATATAATTGACAATTGAATATCAGTTCACCTGCACTTAGTTGAAGCTGTAATATAATACTAAGATTATCTACTTTTCTTGCTCTTTTTAAAGCAGGTTTTTAGATGAAAAATCTTTGAGAATTCTTATCAACTTTTATTTTGAAACTTTTGAGAAAACTGCTAAGATGTTAGAAGTAGTTAGAGAATCTGACAGTCTATGAAGATCAGACTGAGATATGATAACTCTGACTAAGAAGAATATGAGATCAAGAAATTTTATATTCAAGAAATAATTCTTTGAGATAATTGAAGAAGACTTAGAGTGAGTAAATTGAGAAATTGCTGACTTTATAAATAAGGCAAGAAACACTCTAGAAAGGGTTAGAGCAGAATGAGATAAGCAGAGAAAGTAAATAGATGAACTTAATCAGTAAGTGAACAGTCTGATAGAGAAATAAAATACTTTACAGCAGACAGTGAACTCTTTATCCTCTCAAATCAAACTGATAAACAATCAACTGATGTAATAATTAATCAAACTTGATAACTTTAAGCACCTCATTAATGAAAAAGAATTAATATTTGAAAATTAACTCTTCTGAATAAAATACAAGCTGACTGTCAATACTGATCACTTTCTGAG